AGACATTGTGTGGGTCCAGAGATTTCAGTCTACAAACTGACCAAAAATGGTGACTCTAGCTATAAATATGTGGCCGTGAGGGCGAGTTTAAAATGTTTTTTGGTCTTAAAAAAACGGCTGCCTCACACTCTAGCTTTTCAGTTGCTCCACTCTAGGAGGCAGGATTTTGCTAAAACTTTGTGGCGCTTGAGGTCTGATTATACAAAAACCGTAGCAGTTATCAACATGCCGTCTTCAGTTTTAAATAGACGAAGGATTTATCTACAAACTGAGCTTTAAACTGTTTTTCTAGGTGAATGTATGGTGACACAGTGAAATGCTGTTTTTTATGCTTTTTTTTTCCTCTCCCCATTCATTTCCTATGGGATTTTTTTGCGACGTTTTCGCTAATAATTCGCAAACCTTCGGACTAATGAGAAAGTTTTATACAAGCACGCATCGCCCCATTGGTCCCTACGCGTGTGCCAACTTGGGGCCTGATCCGACGAATGGTGCGTGACTAGTTACGCGCCGAAGTTTTTAGGGGACGAGGAGAACTATAAGCTATAATAATAATACGCGGAATAAATATGTGCAATAGTAATAGGTGGGCCATGCCTTCGGCATGTGGCCCCCCAATAATAATACGCGGAATAAATATGTGCAATAGTAATAGGTGGGCCATGCCTTCGGCATGTGGCCCCCCTAATAATACGCGGAATAAATATGTGCAATAGTAATAGGTGGGCCATGCCTTCGGCATGTGGCCCCCCTAATAATAATACGCGGAATAAATATGTGCAATAGTAATAGGTGGGCCATGCCTTCGGCATGTGGCCCCCCTAATAATACGCGGAATAAATATGTGCAATAGTAGTAGGTGGGCCATGCCTTCGGCATGTGGCCCCCCTAATAATACGCGGAATAAATACACTATATTGCCAAAAGTATTTGCTCACCTGCCTTGACTCACATATGAGCTTAAGTGACATCCCGTTCCTAATCCATAGGGTTCAATATGACGTCGGTCCACCCTTTGCAGCTAGAACAGCTTCAACTCTTCTGGGAAGGCTGTCCACAAGGTTTAGGAGTGTGTTTATGGGAATTTTTGACCATTCTTCCAGAAGCGCATTTGTGAGGTCGCACACTGATGTTGGACGAGAAGGCCTGGCTCTCAGTCTCCGCTCTAATTCATCCCAAAGGTGTTCTATCGGGTTGAGGTCAGGACTCTGTGCAGGCCAGTCAAGTTCATCCACACCAGACTCTGTCATCCATGTCTTTATGGACCTTGCTTTGTGCACTGGTGCACAGTCATGTTGGAAGAGGAAGGGGCCAGCTCCAAACTGTTCCCACAAAGTTGGGAGCATGGAATTGTCCAAAATGTCTTGGTATGCTGAAGCATTCAGAGTTCCTTTCACTGGAACTAAGGGGCCAAGCCCAGCTCCTGAAAAACAACCCCACACCATAATCCCCCCTCCACCAAACTTTACACTTGGCACAATGCAGTCAGACAAGTACCGTTCTCCTGGCAACCGCCAAACCCAGACCCGTCCATCAGATTGCCAGATGGAGAAGCGCGATTCGTCACTCCAGAGAACGCGTCTCCACTGCTCTAGAGTCCAGTGGCGGCGTGCTTTACACCACCGCATCCGACGCTTTGCATTGCACTTGGTGATGTATGGCTTGGATGCAGCTGCTCGACCATGGAAACCCATTCCATGAAGCTCTCTGCGCACTGTTCTTGAGCTAATCTGAAGGCCACATGAAGTTTGGAGGTCTGTAGTGATTGACTCTGCAGAAAGTTGGCGACCTCTTCGCACTATGCGCGTCAGCATCCGCTGACCCCGCTCCGTCAGTTTACGTGGCCTACCACTTCGTGGCTGAGTTGCTGTCGTTCCCAAACACTTCCATTTTCTTATAATACAGCTGACAGTTGACTGTGGAATATTTAGGAGCGAGGAAATTTCACGACTGGATTTGTTGCACAGGTGGCATCCTATCACAGTTCCACGCTGGAATTCACTGAGCTCCTGAGAGCGACCCATTCTTTCACAAATGTTTGTAAAAACAGTCTGCATGCCTAGGTGCTTGAATTTATACACCTGTGGCCATGGAAGTGATTGGAACACCTGATTCCAATAATTTGGATGGGTGAGCAAATACTTTTGGCAATATAGTGTATGTGCAATAGTAGTAGGTGGGCCATGCCTTCGGCATGTGGCCCCCCTAATAATATGTGCTTTTTTAGATGAGGAAAACATACAAGTTGTACCTTTTTCTCAAATGTGTGCATAGAGTCACCTAGACAGTCTTTTATGTTTTATTTTATTAGTTATATTAGGCAAGTGTGACTTTTAATTTTCTTTTTGTCAGTTTCTTTGCCAACCTGCATCTCTACAAAAAGTTTTTACTTCTCTGTAGTACTGTGTGATGGCCACCAGAGAGCAAAGTCAGTGAAATGTTTCTTTACTAAAAGAGAAATGACATGTCAAAATCCCTTTTTTTCTCATTTGATAAAAAGCAGAGGCACTGAAAATTAAATTAACGTTTAGGAAACTGCATTGTTTCTTCGAAAGAAAAAAAAGGTGGCATCTTCATGTTTGTTATTAATTTGTTATGGTGTCTGTTTGTCTTTAGAAATCGACACCTGCTGAAGGAGCAGCCCTGTGCCTAGTCGTCCACAGATTTGATAAATGTGCCTGAACCTGCAAAAGTGATGTAACATGATAAAAGATGGATGTAGGAGAGAGAAAGAAACCATCTGCTCTGAATATGTTACATAGTCATTTACTTTCTGCTGTCACCGGGACTAATGCAACACATGTTCTTGTTTATTTATACCAGAAAGTTCTAGGATCCTCTGTCATATGATCAGTGGTTGATTGAATGCTTCTGTCAACACTGCAGGTCTGACAAAAACTGAGACCATTTACCAGTGGATGTTATGAGTCACATAACATCATTTTTAATGGCTTACTTCTCTTTTTTCTGGTTGCTACTTACCACTAAGTGGATCTGGTGTTGTACAGTTCCTCTTGTACTTGTCTCTGTCTTCATATAGGGCCTTCAGTAGATCTGGATTGGAGTCCCTCAGAGCCCTCCTTCTCCTGGCCCTTTGCTCTAACCTCCTCACCCGACCCTGAGATCGGCTGATGAAATCTGGCCTGAAGAGCTCCAAAGCCTCCTGGGGAAGAGATCAGCATGTGTGAAATTAACTTTTATGGGATGGACAGTGTAAGAAGGATATATTATTACACTAAAACTATGTATTTTTACACATACATTTGTACAAACTTAGGTATAAATTTTACACTTTTCTATGGTCCACATTTTGTGAGCACTTCTGCTATAACCTTTTGCTGCTGTAACACCACAATTTCCCCATTGTGGGAAAATAAAGTGATTTTCTATTCTATTCTATTCTATTCTATTCTATTCTATTCTATTCTATTCTATTCTAATCTATTCTATTCTATTCTATGTTGAGCTTGATCTGAACTATGTAAAACAAAAAACGTTGCAACTGTCCTGCCAATACAGTCACAATGTCCCAGTTTTTATTTAGCTGGGAAACAAAGTAGAGAAAACACATAAGTCAGCCAATCTGTATTTTTTATTTTTATTTTTGCAATGTAATTTTTGCAATTACGTGTTTAAGCTTTTTTATCTTTTTAAATTACATCTTCAGAAAAGATGTGTTAGCTTAGGTAAAATCCCCCATCCTGTTGAAAAGTCAAATTCTGTCAAAAAGCCTTTTGAATTCCATTTTTGTATTTTAAAATGCTGACAGTTTGCTTACCTTCCTCTAAAACTTTAGATTTTACTTGTTTAAAGGAGATTTCTTTTAAAAAAGTATAAAAATGTGACTCATACTTTCAGGCTCAGAGTTTTAGGAGTGCCTCCCACGGTATCATTCTGCAGCTGTGAGTGGTGATGACAAGTGGAAATTGTCTGAGCTTCAATGGATTTGCTACCTTCCTGGTCTTCTTCTGCCTTTTGACCTCCCCACTTGCTCATCATCTCTGATTCTACTCAAGACACAAAGAAATAGCTTAAATTGTATCATTTAAAACTTGTAATATAAATATAAATATATCTTTATACTGAGAATCCCACAAAAAAACAAACGAAAAAAACCCTTAAGTTTGTGAAATGAAGCGCTGACTCACAGTGACAGGAACATATTCTATGCATTGACCCAGTATCTCTATCTCTATTCAGCTTCTGTTTACTGGTTACGACCTATTTATACAATATTGAATCATTTTAATCGCACTAGTTCTATTGTTTTAATCTGCCAATTTTGTTTATGCTTTGGATAAATTCTTATTGTCTTATTTTTCGTTTTTTTATATTTTGTTATTATATAAAGCATATCTTGGGTGTGGTACAAACCAGTATTAAATTTTGTATGTGTACACAAACATGGCAAATAAAGCCAATTCTAATTCTGAAATGAAGTGATTCATTCAGAACTTTCTAAAAACAGTTCTTTGATGTTGTTTTACCATCTCTCTTGTTTATACTCACTATTTTCAAAGGGGTCTTGAGCTTCTATAGTAAAGCTTTTATAATTTTGAAGACACCAAGGAACAGAATTTATACTGAACCAAGTGCAATCTAATGCTTTCAGAGACACACACACCCAAACACACAAGGGGACCAGGTTTTTGGTCCCCATAAGGACATAGGACACAATGATTTGACTGTTTAAACAGATTCAAGTCTCCACACTGTGATAAAAACAAGTTACATACAGAAACATGCACACAAAACCCTAGCAACTCATAAGGAGGAATAAAACAGCAGGAACTCCAGTGTGGCCTATGAATAATGTAAACGATGGCAGTGCATCTAATCTGCTCTCCTAACCTCATTCATGTCTCTTTTGAGAACACATCTCTCAGCTGAATACGCTACAGCTATCACTCATCTTTTAATGGTACTGCATCAATGTCATATAATGTCACTGGTCAAGTTCTTCTTATAGGATATATTTACTGCCAGACTAGGTCCAGTGAAATTGAAAAAAGCTTAAACTACCAACACAAAGGTGAGGCAGTTTAATAATTAAAATATTTTGTGGATACTCTTTTATGAGTAAATAAGAAACTCCAGGTCCTTTTGGCAGCAACTTTTTCCATTAATATAGGCAGGTTTTTCATTAAAAAAAGGTTATACTCCATTATATAGTCCATTATATTTAATATTAGATCAGATAAAAAAAAATCGACTTTGCACTCTTAGTTATCTTCTTCTATACTTACTGCTTTGTTCTGATGCCAAGTTAAAAAAGGGCAGAATTCCAACATAAAAAGACATTTCTAAAAGTTAAAATATTTTAAATTTGTTTTTTGACCTTTAATCTCAAGTTTTAAGCTAATTACACATAAAACATCCTGTCAACAATTCTATACTTTTGATTGTATGTTAACTTTGTTAAAATGAAACGTTTTTTTTTTCTTACAAAATCATTTACCTTACCCTTTTAGGATAGAGCTTAATTGAACATATTGCCAAATTTCGAAGTTGGTGTATTAAGATATATTATTGTTGTTCTCAATAAACATACATTAAATGGTGTTTTTTGGGGTCTGAATGGTATTCTTAAAATATATATATTTAGATACAAACAGATTTTGTGATTTATTAAGGTTGGTTTGCTCTGAGAATATTCTATTACTTTTGATTCAACTTTGAAATTAAACAAAAGCTCAGTGGTGAGGTATGTGCAGACGTGGTATGTTCCAAATCCTGTTTCAGCTAATCTTATAAATAAGCAGGTTAGGAATTCCAATACGAAAAAAAAATAAAAGAAAATAATTTACTTTTTTCTTCAAGTTGTTCCGGTAATACTTTATCTTTTGTTTTTCATTTCTTATTTGAGAAAAACATGACTTCAGCTTTGTTCATACACATTTTTTGCACATATACATTTTAAAATGCAAAGTTGCCTTTGGCTATATTGTGAAAAACATGCAACAGTTGCACCCTAGCTACAGGAAGATTGTAGCATTCTCTTTGTACTCTCAACAAAAATCCCTTCAAATCTATTGTAAAATATTACAATGTTTTCCCGATGCAGCAGTCATCTTATCCTTTTTTCTTTTATTGTAAGTTGAGATGGATAAAGGAGTTTTGTTTGCTCTTCATTCAAGGATGTTTGAGCAGAGCATGTTCTTCTGCCAACTGGGATTTATTTTAAACAGTATTAAGACAGTGGAAATAATGTAAAAAGTGTGTGGGGGGGGTCTATTAACAATGCATGAGATAAGAAAGTAAGAGGTTAGAGCCAAAAAGAAAAGAAACAGAGAGAATAACAATACTCTAAGACCAGCTTAGTGCATAAATACAATTCCTGTTATGCCTTAAAGTTTCATTTAGGATATTCAAGCGGGGGAAATATATATTTACTGATCTTTGGATTTTCCATTGAAGGTGGTTACATTTCATACCTGGTCTAACAGTGATAGTGTGCTTCCTGTGCCTGGAATTACTTTGAGCAGAGACGGCTGCCTCATTTGCATTCCCCTTCTGCTTTGCAGCCTTTGTGTTGAAGGAAGAAGGTTCTCTGAATGACAAAGAAGTGCTGTGGCTCTGCTTTTCCCAGTCATCATCCTTACTGTTAACACCACAAGCAAGTGCCTTTTGATCTTCCCTGGGTCCACAGTGCTTTGAAAAAGGGCTCCCTGTGTGATCCAGTCTCATCTTTTGGACATTGCACCTGCTGAAGTTACCTCTCCTGTAATCCTCGCTTGTTTTCGCTGGTTTCTTATCTGTAGTGGATCTGCAGAGAGATTGCACACCAAGCTGACAAGTAAGGGCAGATCTGTACAGAGGTACTTGAACTCTTCTCACTCCTGCAGCAAGTTCTGCAAGTGAAATGCAAAGTGACTTGTCCAGAAATACAGCAGAGCTCCAAGACCTTAGGGGTAACTCATGATGGATGCACACCCTGTAGGAAAGCTGTGGGGAGAATGTTTTTGTTCCTGAGAAATCTGTCATTTCCTTTTTTTGATCCTTTTCTGAGTTGTTTGGATTCCATCCAGGACGTTGTACTTTAATCTTTCCTGGATCTCTTGCTGACAATCCATTAGCTGGAGATTGGACGTGTCTTTGATTATTTGACAAACAAATGACAGGATCCAGCTGGGCCTTTGAGTCTCTCATTGGCTGTTAGGATGATGTTTAGTGATAGCTCTGGAGCAGCTATTAAATTATAAAAAGGATGGATGAAAAAATCTTTCTAATTGCTATATAAAAGGTAAAAATACTGTATAATTTGCCTCCCATATCAGGTTGGAAATCTCCACAAAAGTATAGTCTTTAAGTAACAGGAGATTGGCTGGATTTAGATCCAAGCGACATGGTTTCCTCTCCTCCTTGTCCCTCTCCTCACTCCAGATGACTGGACATTATTGTGCAGTAAAGCAGAAATATGCTTACTAAGTACTCTGAAAAGAAAAAGAAAGAGGAAAAATGTTTCATTTCAGTTCCTTCTGATATATTCTCTAACTAAAAGATCATACAATACTGCACACACACATACACACAAAACACAACCAGTGGCCGCTTTTGTGAAATTACAAGGAAAAACACTGTGCTGTTTTCTACAACACTGAAAGAAAGGAAGAGCAAGCAGAAAAATAGATCTATGACATTTGAAATTAAAATTCAAGATTTTCTAACAAGAAAGTTAAAATTTTCTGCTTCAGTTCTGTCTTTGGTTGTCAAAACTCTAAACCAGCACAATCAAAAACTAATAATTTCACTATTACCCTCGCAAAGCTAATTCCACCCCGATAGAGAAACTTCTTGTCATTTTTTTTAAACAAGGTCAATGTTGTGAAATTAAAATGAAGTTGGATGAACTACCATTTGTTTTAAACCTCTTGTATTCGTCTAGATTTTCAACATTACAACGAAAGACAAATACTGTATAGTTTTACATTATTTTTATATAGAACATTAGGTAGTATATTTGTAGTTGTATGAACAAATTAAAGTAAACAATTAAGATTTTTTACCAGTAAAATAAGCAACAAAAAATTCTTTCAAGTGATTATCAAGTGGTATTTTTTAACCATATATTTTTAAAAACAAGCTTTGAAATCATTACATTTGGAAAAAGAATCTAAAGTGTCACTATATATTTTTTTTAGAATAGAAAACTTGTTCACATTTAAAAAGTTGCTCAGAACACCAGCTCATCTAAAACCAACCAGATGAACCTGAAGAAGTGCCAACATTTTTTTTTAAAGTAAACAGACTTGCCCTGTGATGAAATATCTAAAGCAATATTTCTGCCAGCACTTTAATATTTGATTTTTTTCCCCCTCCGGTTTACCATTCCATATTTATTCAATGCTCATAGCTCATTCCCAGTCATCATGATCCAAAAATTGTAAAAAAAAAAAAAAAAAGAAAAAAAAAAAGAAAAAAGATTCCACTTTCTGAATTTCTGCTGTACAGCTCAGCTCAGCTCAATTTGTGGCCCTCTTATCAGCCCTAGTTGAAGACAAATGTTGGATAGCTTATATAAAGCCTGAGGTGGAAAGCAACCTGTCCAGGGTGAAAATCAGCTATTGCCCACTGACCACTGGAGATAGACAACACCCCCTCCCCCCACAGCCCTGCAAGAAGAAGAAGAATTGGAAGATTGAAGAATGGAAGAACATAAAAAAGGCCAATGATGTTGTCCATTTATGGACTGTATTCTGTGACATTCATTTTACACATTAACATAGCTTGTAAGACTCACTCTGTTTTGCATCAGTCAGCAAATGTAATTTAATAATAAACAATTCAAACATGTATTCAGAAAAGTAATATAGCGCCAGTGTAGGTTCAAGTTACGTTTTGGCTGGTTCTCATTTTTTTTCAAGGATAGTGCAATGCACATGTTATGACAGCAGGAAACTGATTATGTTTACCCTGCTTGTTCTACTTTGAGACAACGACATGGGAATGAAAGCTCAGACAACTCTGAAATGAAAATTTATGAATCCGCTGTTTCAGCTACAGTCATTATTTTTTAGATTTCTTTTTTCTTTAGCAAGCCAGTTAAACTAATAACACATTTATCACTGTTTGCTAAGATATAAATAATAAAAAATAGTAGCTGCAGACACTGAATGAGCAAACACATACTGTACAGATAACACAAGATCAAAACAAGGGTATTATGTATAATAAACTGTTTCCATCCATCCATCCATCCATCCATCCATCCATCCATCCATCCATCCATCCATCCATCCATCCATCCATCCATCCATCCATCCATCCATCCATCATCCTGAGAAGGTCACCAGTCCAGTATGGGGAAAAAAGAACAGTCAAAATATATGTGATGATGAGAAGAAATTATGTTTGACTTGTTTCCTGGAAAAGAGAAGATCAGAAGAAGATTCTTAAGGGTTTATATGCAGGTGAAGGTTCACAGTCAGGTTTTTATCATTCCAAAAAAGTTAAAAACGATCCACAGGACTTTGTTTGCAAGTTTGAAGCTTTTCTGCTTTCCATCCAGGAGGCTTTTTCAGTTCAAAATTTCAGAATTAGCATTGAGTTCCTTGCTGATATACAAATAGCAAGGAAGTCCAAAAGACACGCTGCAGAACATAAAATGAAACACACAAATTTTGCCTTCCCATATGTTGCTTGAGTCTCTGAAAAACTCAAGAAGTTTTTTTCCAAACACAAACTCCCAGTACATGTCAAACCTAACATGACCCTTAAACAGAGACTAGTGCAGGGGTAATCAATTAAAAATCAGAGGGGTCCGAATAAAGAAAGGGAACAACCAGTAAAGGTCCGGAAACATTTTTAATTATAATCTGTTACTTTAAACAAAATTTAACACTAAAATAAAATGAGGTTTTTATGAATCCATGTTATACATTGAATTTTTAAATGAATATACATACATACATACAACTACATACATATATATATATATATATATATATATATATATATATATATATATATATATATATATATATATATATATATATATATATGTTTACATTTTAATATATATATATGTTTACATTTTAAAATCTGTTGTTTTTTTGTGTGTTGTTTTAAGTAGAGAACAACAATCATTCGGTTTGGTGTATAGATAATTTCCTGATTCACATATTTTATATAACACCTGAACTGACCGTCTGTTATTTTTCTTTTCTTTCTTGCGTTATTGAGAGCAGTGGGCTTTAGGTTGACCTGCAGGCTTTAAACTTGGGTGTGAATGGTGACAAAGGCATTCTCAAGCACATATCAAAGTGCTCATTCATGATCCTGGATCAATATTTATTTTTGATTATGTTCATGGTGGAGAATCCTGCTTCACAACAGCAGGTTGAGCCAAACATAACTAAAATGTGCAGGTTCATCTTTGAGCACGCCATTTTACTTTTCTGTCACCAGCTCACCCCAGTTCTTCCAGCAGTCCACAGTTTATTTCTCTTTTTCTCCTCATATCCTCCATCTTTCCCATTGCCTGGCTTGCAACAGGTTTGCCTGCTGTGTCTAAAAGTAACTAGCAGCAGCAACCCAGACTGACACAGCTCATTGGCTAAGTTGTATCTTGCGCAGCCTGTTCCCGGACGCTCAGGAGGGCTTTACCGTACAAATAGGAGAAGCGGCACAAGTGAAATTAGACACTGTCTTCGGATATATGCAGTAATTTATGAATGTTTTGAATCAGGTTGGCTCCGAATTACCCAGCAGGTGGGTCCTGATCCGGACCGCGGTCCACTAATCTGCGACCTCTGGACTAGTGTACCCTAAAGACAAATCTCCAGACCATATATGAGTGGAGTGCAGTTCAGTGCAGTGAGGAATGCTTTATATTGGAGAAACCACACAACCTCTCCAAAGATGCACTGCCCAACAGAGAAGAGCTACCTCCTCTGGACAACACCCGGCTGTACATCTACACCTAATGGACAAAGGACATTCTTTTAAGGACCAGAATGTTCACATTTTGGACAAAGAGAACAGGTGGTTTGAAAGGGGTGTGAAGGAAGCCATTTATGTTAAGAAAGAAAAACCAGCCTTAAACACAGGGGGTGGACTCAGGTTTCAAAAACCTTTAATGCAGCGATAGAGTTGATTCCTTCCCACGATCATTGCAACCCCCGCCTGATACAGGGGGACCAAAACACTTTACCTGGTCAGCCAGGCACACAATTCCCCCTAGATATTGCAGGCTAACAAAGAACCCAAACCACTCCCCACCCCTAAGGGTCGGGAACCCGTTCTTACAGTTTAATTTGCATGTTTTTTAAGACAAAACAAATTTTTGTTTTGGGCCACTCTATATAGCCTCAAACTGAATGCTACTTCTGACATTTTGAATTGAAAAAGCTTCCTAGATGGTAAGCAAAACGTCTTCCAACTTGGAAACGAAGTCCACTGGGTTGCTTTTAACTTTCTTGGAATTCTTATGGGCTGCTGTGATGTTTGGTTTGCAACAACACTAAGCTGGAGCTTTTGGAGGTGGACCATCACTTGTTCAACTGGATACTGCAATTCCCTACTGCCTACATGTTGTATATGAAGATAAGGGACTTTGTCAATGCCAACAGAACCTGAATAAGGCACATTGTTGTGGATTTCCATGGAGACAGACTCACTACACTGGCCCAATAAAAATGTATCAGAAACATAAAAAATAGAGACAACAACAAGAAAAGAAAAAAACTATGAGAGAAGTTATGTAAGGGAGACACACTGAGAAACTATAATAGCAAGCACACAAAACAGAGATGCTAGAGGTGATTTTTAGCTTGATCTATTCTAATCAGCAACCTGACGAGAATCTTAATGATGCATCCTTTTTAAATCAAGTGAATGCACATCTAAGTACTACAAATTCATGCTGATAACAACAATGCTTGCTTTTCAGTAAAATCAGAGTATTTGAAATAAAGCCAGAAAACATGCAGAGAGTGATTCATTTTTAAGATGAAATCTGTTATTGTTAGTGCATGTGTTTCTATAGATAACAGTTCACAGGTAGGTTGGAATTCTGGGGTAAATGCGATGATTTCAAAATCAATTAAATGCCTTCGATTAGCACACCTCAAACTCTTTGGAGACTCTCTAAGTTAGCTGAATGGCTCTTTGCACAACTCCAATACTCCTTGAACTTAAGGCAAATCTTTTGTTTCCTGTCTTATATTAACAGATTAACTGATTAATCCAGGTGTGTCTATCCATGGTTACTGGGGTCAGCCACACCTGGATTAATCAGTTAATCCAGTAGAAAAAGACAGGAAACAATAGAGCTGCCCTAAGTTTAGCAAGTAGTGGAATTGAGCATAGAGCCCATTGACTAAACAGGTCTTGAAATAGGACTGAGCTTTCAACATACAACAGTAATGCTGGAGATGCAATGCATTAGATTTTTCTTGGGTTTGAATACTGTCCAAGTATATTTTTGCATGGAGTTTATACATTCTCCCTGTGAATGCATGGGCTCTCTCTGGGTACTAAGGCTTCCTCTCTCCATCCAAAAATATGACTGTTTGGTAGATTGGGGACTCTAAATTGTTCATGGGTGTGAGTGTGTGCACAGCTGTATGTCTCTGTGTTGTTCCTCTGCTGAACTATTGACATGTGCAGAATGTATCTGACTTTTTGCCCACAGAATGCTGGATTTAGGCAGCAGCCTCCCATGGCCCCAAAGGATAAGAGGTGGATGGATGGACACAGAAATATATTTGAGAGCAAAAAATAGAAAGGTCAGTTGTAAATTAAACTTGCTCTGATCTATAAGAAACGCCTTTATTGTCCCACACAGAGGAAATCAGCACTAAATTGTTTGAGACAATTATTTTTTTTTTTTGTATTTTGCTAACTTGACTCTGTTGTTATCAATGTGGATATGAAAACAAAAAAGCCCCTAGCAGCTTAAATCCGTCCAGACATTGAAATGAGATGGGGAGGGTGAAGGTGATTATTGGGACTCTTATCCGTGTTCAAATCTGTCTGTATTTTATAACATCATTTTGGGTGGAGGTTCTGCTTTCAACTGGTTCTTTTTGCAGATGCACAAACAAAGCCCAAAATGTGATGTTTTCGTATCTGAGTAATTGTCAGTATTACCTTTAGTTTCAAGTATAGGTATATTGACCAGATTATGTTGAAATATAATGGTGAAAAATGTACTACATTAAATAAACAGTGCTTGTTTCGAAAACTAGAAGTTAGATAATGGTCTCCGTGTTAAAGCAATTTGATCAGTCCAGTCAGGCATGCTGTAATGATCCCAACCGTGGGTCGCTGGAATGTTGTCACACTCACTACAATCTGCTGGAAATGACTGCAAGAAAACATCTGATATTGGCTTTGATGTGGTTTCATTATGTGAAATACAAAACCCCCACTTTGGCTAAAATGAACTGTTATGAAGGCTGTTTTGACGAAAGACCAATTGCAGAAGAATGCAGCAGGTTGAAGAAAACCTGAATATTTACCTTCTATTGACACCTCTCAAACTGTTTTTGTTTTCTCTCATCACAGTCTTAAATCCTAATACCTTTTTTGAGATATCTACATAATAGAACAATAAAAAGTAGCACATAATTCTAAACTGAAGGGAAAATAAAACATATTTTAAAATGTGTATTACTTAAAAGGAGAATACCAGGAAAGTTGATGTTGCAGATCTTGTCAATGAGGGGAAGTTGTGCAATAGAATACCGTACCTGGTTTGGGTGTGGTATGGGGCAGAGCTTCATCCTCTAAAAAGATCATAATCATATAGTCAAAGCTACACTAAAATTGTTTAAATGACAGTGCGTTCCAAGTTTTAGCTTTTTGCACACTGTGTACCAGATTTTCAAAAGGTTGATATGTATTAAAAACACCTGTAAACTTGTTTGCAAGAGCAGAGGAAATTTTAATACCAGGAGCAAAAGCGATCTGCACATGCAGTTAAGCAGGTAGTTGGTAGCAACTTTAGTTGTGATTATGCAGCTCATATTCGGATGGCCAAATTGTGAAAGTGCATAATCCTTCAAACAAGAATCAAGAAATCCCAGGATTTCTTGTTTCCCTTGATGTTCCTTTATCGGAACATTAGCCATCAAGGTGCAGAACAAGTTTTATGAATGATATCTAATCTTAAAATTTTTTCTTAGCCATGTTCATCGTTTTTCTGTTCTTGGCTGCACATAAGTGCACAATGAAATATATTCTTCCTTGTTGCTTTTAATTTTTAAATATCATTATTACCAACATGTTGGTGATAATTATAATATATATTTAAAAATTCAAAACTAAATTTTCTTGATTGAATGGGGAGAAACCAAATCTGTTTGCATGTGTTCTCTTTTGCACATTTAGTCTTTGTGGATAAATTACGACGCACAATCTAAGAGCAAGTGCAATTTTTTTGTCCACAGAATTCAACATTCCCTTTTTAAAGTCATGAAAGATCAGGCCCAAGATATTCAAAACTGGAAGAAATTCATCCTCAAGGACTGACTGCAGTGTTTCAGTTTTCTTCCACTTCAAAATGATGCACTTTTTGTGTTGAACAGTCAGTAAAAATCCTTGCAAAAATATTTGAACTTTGTGTTTTTTGTCATGACAAAATGGGTGTTAATAAAATTTTACAAGGAACTGTAAACCATGTTACTCATGAAAAATCAAATCAGTAAAAAAATACTAAGATATATGAATATATTTAGGCCTAATTCCAAATGAGATTACTGTACCAATAAAAGCACAACTGAAAAATCAACTGAACTAAACAACATAACTGGAATATACATTATTTCCATTATTTGAAATAAAATACATAAAACGGGAATTCCAACAAGAATACAAAATGCACCCAAAAACCCAAAACAGAAAGCCTAGGCAGTTCCATGCTTGAAACAAATATAACCGTATAGATAGTTAAATTAAAACCTGCTCACTTTTCTGAGAGCAAAACATACATTACTGTAGACAAGTAATAAAATATTTCCTTTTCATACAGTTTTTCTCTGTTTAACTCAGGCACTAATCTAACTGAATGCTGCTATTATCAACTGTTTTTTGCAGCCACTTACCTCAAGCAGTAGCTGTTCCTCTCCACAGAATGAGTTGTATCTCCAGAGGCCACAGTGTGAGCTGTCCTGCTCTCACCTAGGAACATAACAGATCATGAGGGAGGGCAACGTCCTCCCTGATCATTTGTAAGGTTTCAGTGGAAACTCCTCTTTGCCTTCAGAGGTTCAGTGAAGAAAAAGAAAAAAAGAAAACATCAATTCAGTCAATATGTTTACTCAAATTATCCTGTGATCTTAAGTCGTTCACAGCAGACTTCAAAGAGAAGCAACTTGAGAACTAATAAAGAAATCCTTAAAAGCGAGGGCTTTCTTTCACAGACCCCAGTAACTTTCTTATTTAATAGTTTTTTTTTATTTTTATTCCTGCTTCTGGTTAGGTTGAGTTGTTGTCAGGGTTTTTTTCTGGAGCTTTCAGTAGCTCCCTTGGCTTAATTTGTAAGAGTAGAGTATTCAGATATGGAGCACGTCTGTCCTTTATCCTTCCCCAGGGCCTGAGCTCAGGTAGCAGAACAGGTGACTGACTCTCAGGTTTCAGGACTTACATAAGAAGTACCCACTACACTAGACATAAATGGAGGCAGAGACTTTAAAAAGCTCCTCTTTACATCTCTCTGAAACAGTGAAGAAAAAATTACATTTTAAGATAGCAAAAATACACCTTATTACTACAACCATTCTATTCTTATCAGCGTTTCTTTAAGCAAACTCTCTGTTTCTTTTCAAAAGCTTTTAAATAGCAACTTATTTCCTCCCCCTGTGGAAATAAATAGGCCGCAGTGTGAGCACAAATAAAAGAAACACAGAAGCAAATCTATAAAAAAAAAGTAAATATTCTGTACAAGAGGGAAAGTGCTGAATGTTCAATTCATTGCTTTATTCACAAATAAAACCCAGCCAGATTAGGCTAGAATTTAAATTTCAGTGTAAAGGAACACAATGTTTACACTTTATCACTGTTGAATTATTTGATTATACAAGAGAAAAAGAAATAAAGCAAAACATATTTCAGTCTTGTCAATACTTCCGACCCTGTGGTGTTTTGAATTCTAAAGGAAGCAATGTAATGACCATGCCTCTTACTCAGAGATGAATCTAAAGGTTACTGCAAAACACAATTATAGAGGCATAGTCACATTCTATGCCTATTTAAAAAGGCAAAAAACACCTAAGCATGATAAAATAAGGTTATATACACTAGATTTCCATTCAGTGTTTTGATAGTCCTTTGTAAGCCTAACTAGACTTTAAGCACCAGGCTTTAAGAGAAAACTAATGCTACGTTCACAATGAATGGGATTTGAGCAGCAGAAGTGACTGGTTTACACGTAAAATCAATGGTTGACACGCATCAAGGTCCCTCAAAAGGTCCTGTAGTGTCTCAAGCAGCAGGAGCAAAGCATCTTGATGCATCTGAGCAGCAGAAGCAGCCCCTTATGAGCATTTTAGCATCTTAGGCACGTGACCCGCTTCAGATGCAGCTGATGCTGGAGTTGGAAAATTTGAACTTTTAGTGCTCACTCATCACATCAACCAATCAGAGAAGCTAATATGGGGGCTTGCAGGGAAACAGACACAATGCTGCTCAGAGCTGTCAGCATAACGCCATCAGAAATGAATAAGAATATGTATTACAAGGTAAAGTGAGCGATATGATCCCTCCACTGAAGGCAAGGTAAGAAAAGTTTATTTCTATAGCATAATTCAGTACATGGACAATCCAAAGCACTTTAAATGAATTAGATAATAAATTAAGAAAAATATAAGAAAAATAAAATCAAAAACATTTATACAAATGTTTTTGATTTTATTTTAATAAAACAATTTGACCACAAAAAAAGCAGAATAAAGCAAATAAAAAAAACTTTATGAAAGCAGGTAGAGAAGAAAATAAAACAGTAGAACCACAACCTTAAAATAATAATAATACCTCAGTTACAGTAGCAGCCGTTCAATATTTCTCCACTTTCCTTGATGGGCTTTTGGCTGGTCTCCTACAATTAAGTGGGCTGCCATTCGGCTGTTGTTTGACTTGGAGGGGCCATTTTAAATGGCTGCTACTATGGCAGTCTATTTCCAACAGTTCAAGGCAGCTTTAAACAAATGGGTTTTTTACTTTGACCGAAAAACTCAGGCTTTCATCACTTTTACAGTCTTCTGGGAGTTATTTGCAGATAAGTGGGGCATAGGAACTAAATGTTGCTTCTCCATGTGTGGTTGTAGTCCTGGGTCTACAGAGTAGACTGGAACTAGAAGACCTGAGTGTTCTGGGAGGTTAATACACTGACTAAAACATCTGTTATGTATTGAGGTGCTGATCCATTCAGTGACTTATAAAAGGATTTTTAAGTCTATCCTTTTGAGCTACAGGAACCAAATGTAAGGACTTCAGAGATAACAGGGAGCAGAGATTTGGATCAGCTGCAGGTGTATGATGGAATTTTTAGGCAAACCTATGAGGACACTTTTGGAGTAATCATTTCTACTAAAAAAAGATGCAAGAATTAGTTTTTCTAGATCACGCTTGAGCATTAGTCCTTTAATCCCAGAGATGTTCTTCTGGTGATAAAAGGCGGAGGTTGTAACTGTTTGAGTCTATCATCACACCAAGATACACTATATTGCCAAAAGTATTTGCTCACCCATCCAAATTATTGGAATCAGGTGTTCCAATCACTTCCATGGCCACAGGTGTATAAATTCAAGCACCTAGGCATGCAGACTGTTTTTACAAACATTTGTGAAAGAATGGGTCGCTCTCAGGAGCTCAGTGAATTCCAGCGTGGAACTGTGATAGGATGCCACCTGTGCAACAAATCCAGTCGTGAAATTTCCTCGCTCCTAAATATTCCACAGTCAACTGTCAGCTGTATTATAAGAAAATGGAAGTGTTTGGGAACGACAGCAACTCAGCCACGAAGTGGTAGGCCACGTAAACTGACGGAGCGGGGTCAGCGGATGCTGACGCGCATAGTGCGAAGAGGTCGCCAACTTTCTGCAGAGTCAATCACTACAGACCTCCAAACTTCATGTGGCCTTCAGATTAGCTCAAGAACAGTGCGCAGAGAGCTTCATGGAATGGGTTTCCATGGTCGAGCAGCTGCATCCAAGCCATACATCACCAAGTGCAATGCAAAGCGTCGGATGCGGTGGTGTAAAGCACGCCGCCACTGGACTCTAGAGCAGTGGAGACGCGTTCTCTGGAGTGACGAATCGCGCTTCTCCATCTGGCAATCTGATGGACGGGTCTGGGTTTGGCGGTTGCCAGGAGAACGGTACTTGTCTGACTGCATTGTGCCAAGTGTAAAGTTTGGTGGAGGGGGGATTATGGTGTGGGGTTGTTTTTCAGGAGCTGGGCTTGGCCCCTTAGTTCCAGTGAAAGGAACTCTGAATGCTTCAGCATACCAAGACATTTTGGACAATTCCATGCTCCCAACTTTGTGGGAACAGTTTGGAGCTGGCCCCTTCCTCTTCCAACATGACTGTGCACCAGTGCACAAAGCAAGGTCCATAAAGACATGGATGACAGAGTCTGGTGTGGATGAACTTGACTGGCCTGCACAGAGTCCTGACCTCAACCCGATAGAACACCTTTGGGATGAATTAGAGCGGAGACTGAGAGCCAGGCCTTCTCGTCCAACATCAGTGTGCGACCTCACAAATGCGCTTCTGGAAGAATGGTCAAAAATTCCCATAAACACACTCCTAAACCTTGTGGACAGCCTTCCCAGAAGAGTTGAAGCTGTTCTAGCTGCAAAGGGTGGACCGACGTCATATTGAACCCTATGGATTAGGAACGGGATGTCACTTAAGCTCATATGTGAGTCAAGGCAGGTGAGCAAATACTTTTGGCAATATAGTGTATCAGCCATAATCATTGGCTTTTAGCTGTAATAACTGAAGCTGTGGGCTAACAGCGGAACTCTCCTTCTTTGGTTCGAAAATTATTATCTCAGTTTTGTTTTTATTGTAGAAAACAATGGTGCATCCACATATTGATCTGTTCTAAGCATCTGATGGGTTCATAATCACCTGTTGACATTGTGATGTAGAGCTGTGTGTTGTCTGCATAGCTATTGTAACTGAAGTTATTTACTATAATCTGAGCCAAGACGGAGCATGTACAATAGGTATTCAATAGGAGGGGCCCCAAAATTGAGCCTTGAGGAACCCCACATGTGATTTTTCTAGTCTCTGATTTAAAGTTCCCTACTGGCACATCGAAGTCCCTGTCCATCAAGTAGGATTTAAACCAGTCCAGTGCTTTACCAGAAAGGCTGACTCAGTTTTCCAGACATTCTAATAAAATCAAGTGATCAACATTATCAAATGCTGCACTAAGGTCATACAATACCAGTACAGTGGTTCTTCCAGAGTCTGATTTTATTCAGATGTCATTAAATGCCTTAATCAGAGAAGTCTCTGATTAAGACGTTTGGCACGGACACCTGAGTAGAAGGCATCAAAGCAACTTGTCATTGTTAAGAAGGCACTTAACTGTAGAAAGACAACTTTTTCAATAATCTTACTGATGAAGAGGAGGTTTTAGATGGCCTGTATTTCTGAATGACCAGCTTGTCCAAGCTTCTCTTTTTCAACAATAGTTTGATAATTGCCTTTTTAAGGTTCAGGGGAATACACCTGGCATGAGGGATGTGTGGGGGATGTGATTTGAATCAAACCAGACTCTTTTACCAGTGGGTAAAACGTCAAGACAGCATGAAGATGATCTTAGCTGTTGAACAGTTTCTTCTAAACCTTTACAGTTTATTGGGCAGAATTGGGACATTGTAAAAAGACAGACAGGCAAACATGTACTTTTAGTAATTGATTTGGCACCTTCAGATGTATAATAGTAGAATATACTCACTTAGCAGCATTTAGAAAGTTCATTCATCATCCTTTATTTTGGTAGATTTAACTTTTTCAGGTCCTTGCAAATCAGCCCTTAGCCTCTACTGATCTCAACTTGTTTACTGTTTTTCATTTTTCTGCTTCTACCTCAGAGATGTCGTGTCCCTGTGGTAAAATCCTGTCTTACGGCTCCGGAAATAACTTTGACAAATCATTTCTTCAAAGTTCTTAAACGTTTGTTTGGAAATCAGATTTCAGCTAATCCCATTAATAATATTTTCATATCATATAACATAACCAGACTTAGACTTACATAATTTGCACTTCCCATCTATCTCATTATTAATGAATTAATTCAAGTATTGTGACAACTTAATGAGATAAAATATGTGAAAGCTTTCTTTAATCTGACCCTAAAGCAAGAGGCGCTCATTATGAGATGCAACCCCTTAGGGAACTCAGTGTG